ATGCTGACACTAATAGCTAGAATCCCACATTGAGAAGGCAGAGGGGCCAGTGAGGACAGAGATCATACAGAAAGCATCTACAGAGAACAAATATGTACCACGAGAAGTAGTATCAAAGTTAGGAACACTGTACTACATCCAGAACAGGTATGCTCTTTACCCAGAATTATAGAAATTGAAAAGGGTGGAATATAATACAAGTATGATGGTCCAGCCAAGATTCCACAACTCAGGTTGGATTTAAGGGGTCATGATACCCATATCTCACATTGGTGGCCAAGGCAGTCGGACCATAGATATATATGTCTTTGTGATATGATCCCTACCAGTAACCAGAAAGAAAGAAAGCAACACCAAAATAGATAATCCTTCTGATCAACCTGAAGAAGTCCAAAAGGCAACATATCCCACATTGGTGGCCAGGACAGTTGGACCACAGATATATATATCTTTGGAATATGATCCCTACCAGTTACCACAGAATGATGCGTTTCGAACCACCGGATTTATGAAAGAAAGAAAGCAACACCAAAGTGGACAATCCTTCTGATCATCCTGAAGAAGTCCAAAAGGCAACAGCCCAGGTTTGGATTGACACGATCATATGCCATTCTCCACCAAAGTCCAGAACTCATCCAGTCTGGATTTACAAACAGTTGTCTTTACTCCCCCACCAGGTGGTCAAGGAGATATCTGCTTACCCATGGAATTAAGGAGAGGATGTGGAACACTGTCCCAACAAAGACCAAAGATGGAACTGCGTTTGGATTTATGAGGAGATAGTGGACCCCCTGCATGAACAATGTAAGACCTGACAGTGTTCATAAGAGGGTCCAGCCACCCACCACCCCCCCACCAGATAGCTAAGTGTCAAATCTGGACTGATTTTATGAATAGGCTCCCACATAGGTTGGTTCTGCTCCTACCAACATCTGGGAATAAACTTCCAGGGACCCGGGTAAAAGGGTCCCCAACCTCACCCTCTTCTCCGAGATTGGAGAAAACTCAACACTCCAAAGGTAAATCCTCTGTCCACCACCCCAGCAACTAGGAACTGAGTGTAGTAAGGACTCCCAAGTTCCACTAATAGAAGTAAGGGGGGGGGGAACATAAGCATTGGGGAGTCCTGAGGAACAGGTCTCCAGAGACAGTGCAACAGGTGAACCACATTCCCTAATTTTTAAAAGCAAACTGACCTCGACTGATTCAGCTCTAAGAACAGCAGGGACTGGCAAAATCCCCTTTAGCTTTACTCATGATAGTCCACGAGTATCGGTCCATGAGAAATAATTTAATATGATATCACCATCCAGAATTGCATCCAGATGGTCTTATGGAACACCTCATCTCAACAGAGCCCATTGCAACCAGGAGCCAATATAAAGGTTGCTAGTGCAGAATTTAAATACAAGCATACCCGACTGGACAACACTTGCCACTGAGTGGGATCCAAAAGAAATCAATAGGCACCCTAGAAGAGAAAAGAACAATAATTGTAAGTCAGCTAACATTTTACCACCCTGTTAAAACATAGTAGAGGTAGTCAACACAGCCACAAGGAGAAGACAAAGTCCCTTTGAAGAGGAAACTGCCAAATCATGAAGGTAATGAGGTATGAACATGTCGGGAGGAGTCCCGCAAAATATTTCCTGAGAATAAGGACAGAAACGATTAACAGAACCAATGGAATGAGGAGTGGAAGGAGGGGGCCATGAGACACGATGTGATGAACCTGCAGAAGTACAAGTGGAAGTAGAATAGAATCGAGCAGCCAAAGACGATAAAGAAGTCTGCAAACATGCTGTATCAACTCTGGCTTCTAAAGATTCTGGAATTACAGCAAATAAATAAGGCAGAAGAAAAGGTGCTTCCCATAAATCTTGAAGAGCAAAAAAAGGTAAGTGAATACCCTCCAAAAATGCATCCCAACTCAACAAGTCCCAGCAACAGACCAACCACGACACCAAGGCAAGTCCTGAAGAGGAAAACATGTCACAGTAATGACCAGTAAAGGGCCCAGTTTGTCATCAAATTGTTGAGGCAATCAGTGATATACTTCAGACAAAAGTTGAAAATTGCAACCTGTTAAAAGAGATAACAGGTTCTTACCTGGCACCCCATAGATCTAACAATGAATCCAACCTTTGAGTGTCCAAATATATATTATCCTGAAAATGATATGCCAGGGCATGTTGTTCAGATAAATGAGGGTGGGCATAGTGACACCCTCACATAATTGTGTTGCAAACCACCCTGCATGCACAGCAATATCAGGAGAAGGAAGAAAAACTAAGTAATCCCCTAGAGAATGATCAGACAATAAAGCAGGGGAGACTCCAAAAGCAACTGGTTGCATCTCCAAAACTTCATAAACACGTGTAACTTACTGCAGAAAAAGGGGCAAAAGGTGACTGATCAGATGAGTCGTCAAGAGAGGAAGAATAAAAAAAAGGGAATTTAAATTCTCCCCAGAATATTCTGTTTCAGAATGAAAATTCAAATCAACACCTCCTGGAGAGATACTCCAAGGCTGCATGAATGACTTGATCTTGCCCCAAATCAGGTCACAGACAGTTTCCATGGAGAGTACCCCCCCCCCTCACCAACTGCTGACCACCACTATATAACAAAGGGGGAATACATGAAGACTGAGTAGCCTCTATGCTTGAAACCATTACATGGGAATTCACATCCAATTTCTTTTTATAACATATTTGTAGGAAAAAAACAAATAACAAATTCAGCAAAATATATCTCTGGATAACAAAACAAAGAATTCCCAATTATTAGAAAACGAAAACTAAGAAAATGTAAATCACAAAATGTTAGACTGAATGTTCGCGCTTTGTCGAGAAAAAGTGATTTTACTGTCTGCATACAGTACCTGCATAGAGGGAGCATGTGAGGGCCAGCATAAAGTTTTGTAAATGAGATATTGCAGAGGGCAGTTGATTGGGGTATATAGAGACTGGAGCAAGCAAACACAATGTTAGAGATTAAGATCGAGAAATAGCCATTAATGTCAGCAGAGGTATGTATGTTTTGGAAGTTATGTAAGTACTAGAGATGCCAGGAAATAAACTTATTCAAATCACCATGAAAAGATGTGTAAAAAATATCTTTATCAACCCATGCCCTTTGATTCCTAAGCTCAAAGGTTAAAAAGAAAATCGAAACCTAAACTAAAGCTGCTTGTTACTTTTCCCTAAAGAAAGGCAAATTATTAGTAGTATTTTTTTCATTCTCACTAAGTCAAAAACATATGACACAGTTGTTTACCTTTCTAGCCATAATAAGCCCACTTGGGCGATGTGCAACTTTAGTGACAACTCCTCCATTACCAGCCCCAAGCTCTCCCAAGTTCATTAGATCTTCACTGTTTAGCTCTTTTACTTTCTGCTTCTGAGTCAAGAAAGCTTCCAATCGCTTTCGCTGTTGGTGATTTATGTCCAATCCCTCTAAAGACTTTCGTAACACCTCTAAGTTTGTGTTACCTGTTGTTTTTCTATGATAAAATATAAAATTATCAATTACACATAGAAATATATATATATTTCTGTGCGTATATACATTTTTATATCCAATTAACCTAACTTAATTATATACAACTTTATTTTGATATAAGTATATAATGGATGGAATTGCAACTGACAAGAAACACACACCATACTAATTCAGCAAGTATATAAAAATTTAATAGTTGCTCTTATTGTTTATTCTTCTTTCAGTCACCAAAAGCCCTTCAGTAGTTAACAGGCACATAAAATGTACAGATACAGCAATAACAATTTTAAAATCTTTCCCTGCACATTACCTATATGAAAACAAGGGCAGAGATATGTGCCATAAAAAGTTTGTTTCAAAAACTAAGTTTCCATCTTTTCTTTTACATAATTAATTGTTAGTAATTAATGAAATTCTCAATCTTAATTTCAAATTATTGTGATTGAACTGGACCAGGCTGTTATGCTACAGACTACTGAAAAAACATGATTTTTCAGTTATAAATTTTTTATGGGATACAAGTTATATGATTCTTGTGGGTTCATATTTGCTATTCTGTTACATGCCAAAATTGTGAAATATTTTTCTGTCCTACAGGCTACCTGACAACTATTTATTAATAGATGCCCTATTATTGTTGGTAGGTTGTGTTCGTACTTCCAACATGAAGATATATGCTATCAACATTAAAGACTGAGTATGGTCTCACTCCTATCACCAGTACTCAGTAAACTCTACACAGAACATTTCAAAGTTAATGCCCTCAAAACACTCACTACTGACCACGATCTGGCTTACACATGTTGGTGATTCATTCATTATATGGCCACATGCTACAACCGATATTCAAGAATTCATGAAGAGACAACACTCTGTGATACAGTTCACAATGGAAATACATCACAAACTCCCATTCCTTAACATCATGGTTATCAAGACTTATAACAGAGGAATTTATAGGAGACCCACACATATTGTCAGTGTTTTTTTTTTTTTACATCAACTGTAAACCAAATCACCCTGACAGTGTCAGGCAGGTGTTAAACAGCCTAGTTCCCAGAATGAATAAAATTTGTAACACCAAAGAAGCTAAGAAGATGGGAGATAAACACATCACTACAGTGCTCCTGAAAATGGATAACCAGAACACCCGATAAAGTGATAAAGAGTGAACAGAAAGAAAATGACAGATACACAGCAATATTCCTCTATATCAGAGGTTTTTCTGAAATGATCAGAATATATAAACCACATCAAGCTAGAGCAGAATTGAGGAGCAACAACATAATATGATTGCAGTTAGTACATATAAAACCATCTAAAGACATAATGGAGACGAAAACACCATTTACAACATCCTCTTTGCATTCCAATAAACTGAAAAAGCAGAAAAACAACAAAAGGTTGAATTCAGGAGCATAACAGACATAGAAGGCTCAATAACATTGATCTATCTACAACAGCCTTTAATACCAGAGAAGACCATAAAATGAACTGGAATACTAAAATGATAGGATATTAACCTCATGTGAAAAAAAAAGAAAGAAAAAAGATGCCTTCTACATCCACCTAAATGATAACACATCAGCCAACCCAGCATAGAAGTCAACAAGATAGCAACAGATTAGCTGCCAAAATGTAGGATAAAACTATTTTGTAATTAGTGCCTAGTTATATATGTAAAAATAACTCAATAATTAATAATTTGACTTAGGTGATCATACAGGTAAAGTATGACAATAATTGACATCTAATTGCCACAACCTTACCATAAATATTCAGTATCACATTATCACAAAACTCAAAGGTGACAAACCCATAAGTCTAAAATGATTCCGTATTAAGAGATGTATAGGATATCACATACTCAGCCAAGTTCTTTCATCAAATAGCTGATTTATTTAAACAGATTCACTAGTTTCACAGGAACCTGGAAACTATGAGACATGTAAGTAAACACAAAAAGAAGATATGAAATTTTGAAAACAAAGCAATAACACTACTTTAACAAAGAATCATCATATAATAACCCTAGGTGAATACTCATAAAGTAGTTTACCCTGTCTAGTGTCTGCAACTGCTAATAATATTTCTTCAAGAAGATAAACTTTTATGATCAGTCTAGACTTGTCTAATAATGTAGTATGCCTTGCAAATATACAAGTTTTAAGTGTCAGCAGATGTTGTCTTAGCAACAGTCAGTAAGCGAGACATGCCCAAACCTGTCAGTTGCAGTGCACACACTAGTCTCAGTACACCAACTTAGTACTATCAATGGAGTGAAGAGTGAATCAACTGTTGGGACTACTGTTTTCATTTTGTCCAACTAGCAGCCTACATGTTAGTCCTAAAATATAGAGGCCAAGATTTGGAGTAAGGAAGATAAGCAGATTGAGAGACCGTAGACATGAACGAAACTGAGTTTATTCCTTATGTGGGTCCAGTGGTTGATTAATGTGATTTGGCTAAAACAAAAGAAAAAGTTGGACACAAGTTATAAGACAGAAAAGTTCTATGTAGGTCCGTAAGCATCACTGCCTTTTTAGCATGATGGAAATAACTCTGTGGGGGTCAACAGTTATCTAAAGGTGCTATGCACTTTTAAACCTTGCACCTAAAGTGTATGCTTGCAAATACAATTGAAAGGTGTTCGATACTATAAAAACAAGCAAAAAATTCTGAACTTGTCATAGTGTGCTTTAATTTCCACCTCTTCCAAAATGAGGATCAGGGGACTGTTAATAACTTGGATAAAAAATTAAGAGCAAAATCTGGTAGCTGTAAGACTCCGTGAAATTGAATCCAGAGAAAATTTGGAAGAAAAAATTAGGGAGATTTAGGGTTTTCTCTTTTACATTATATTTTGTGTAATTGTATAAGCTTTTACTGAAATAATTAATTACGTATAAACTTATCAATGTTTAAATTAAATGAAAAAAATATATTGCAAAGTAATCAAATATACATTTCATAAAAGTATAAAAATTTCACTTTTGCAAACATTTCTCCTATTTCCTCTATCCTTTTTTTGATTGGGCTTATATGCACATGAACATAATATTGTTGCAAATTAAAAGCTTAAGTGTAGACTAAACAAAATTACTATAAAGAGTAATCAGATACCTAAAAACATCAGTGTTTTGAACATATTGTTTAGAAATTAATACTGTGAATAAAGAACTAAATCACCACCATAAAGCTTTTCATCTTAGCTCTCCAATAAAAAAAAAGTTTCCAGAATGATTGAAGTACTGCTTTTACAGACAATTTTTCTGTAATTTAATTAAAGCTTCTTTCATTTTCAAACATTGATTACATATATATGATAGGTGTTTCACATTCCCCAAGGACAAAATAGGCTTGTTATATATATTATCAACTATGAATAAAGCAAGAAAGAAGGAATAACATTATCACCTGCCATTGTTACAATAGTTTCTGACCCATAATTACAGGCTCAGTCATTTTTTTTGAATAAATACATGCATTACCCCATTATTCACACAACCTCATTCTACTTTTTGAATTTTTTACCATTTTGAAAATAAAGTTATAACAGTTAACATCTCTTAAACACAGCAGAAATTACAGTGAATTAAGAACTGACTGAGTATAACAAAGATACCTGCTGTATTTTCAACAAATTATCAGAATAACTTGAAGTTTCACAACTTTCATGTAACAAGCATAGGCAGTCTAACTCAAAATATTCACAATCTTATCAATGTCTAATTCACAGTTACACAATTTGAATGTATGCACAAGGATAATAAATTACTTCATATTAATTCAAGTAAATATATGTTTTTTTTTATTTGACTTGAATTGTGTGAGTAGCCAATTTATCATTATTTGTTATTTCAGATGTGGTCATCTGTATGCAAATAATGATACACACTTATCACTACTACACATAAATGAGCAATCTTCCCTTTTCTCAAGGCCTAAGCCACTAGTACAAGTCAAACTATGATATAATAACTCAACAGTCAATCATATAATGATGATTAATGCTGAACTAACTGTTTATCTGGTCTTTTAAGTCTTTTTAACTATCTTAATTTCAATCACATATATATACTAATACAGTCTAAATCTTCTCTCAAGGCCTAAGCCACTAGTACAAGTCAAACTATGATATAATAACTCAACAGTCAGTCATATGATGATGATTAATGCTGAACTAACTGTTTATCTGGTCTTTTAAGTCTTTTTAACTATCTTAATTTCAATCACATATATACTAGTACAGTCTAAACCTTTTCTCAAAGTCACAGCAACATTCTTGATACGGTTATTATTATTCTTGCATTTCAGGAAAATCCTAGCTTAATCAAGTTTATATTTATTCAATACTTAAAAAATAGTAGCTTCTGTCGAGATTTTTACAACTAATAATGAAAAAATGTTATTACAAAACCTTTTTTTTACATAAAACTCAAAATAACACTGCATGCTTAAGCTGCCCAAAGTAGAATAAGCAAATTCCAAATAAACAGTTTTCTTTATCAATACAACTTAATAACAACTGTACTTCAACAATTTCAAATGTTTTATGATTAGATGTTCTCGTTTTTTCAGGGACATGGCTTAATTCATTTATTAAAAGAAAAAATTTAACAAAAGTAATATGTTATAAAACTTACTCATTGGTGTCAGTGGGGCTTGGCTGATCAACTGGAGGTAGTTTCAAATTAAATTTGTTCTTTCCTGTATTTGTTGACATTGTATGTATTCTTACTTTGCCAATCTAGATTTGGGGAGTGTTAAAGAGTTATGTAACTTATTTAATGTAAGCCTTTAGCATGAAAAATGAAAAATTACCAATTCATTGGCCACAAAAAATTAACTGGTTAAACATAAGACAATCATATTGTAAGATCAAAGTTGCCCAACAAACGCAATATCGTTGTGTCAGTATCGCATATTACTGGATCAAATCAACCCTCATCAGCACACCTGTGGTCCATGTAGACCCCAATGGATTTTTCGGTTGTATATTGTTTTACATAATCATTAAAATTTATAGCAGTTCATGTAATTGTCAAGCACAAACCCTGCATCAATATGACACTATTGTTTTCTATATTTGACTTTGCAAAGTCATTTAACAAAGTTAAAAACTATATTGGATAGTCAACATGGTTTCACTGAGGGAACATCTTGCCTTACAAATTTTTTGACATTCTTTAAAAAGGTTACTGCTTATGTAGATGAGGGTAAAGGTCTAGAGTTGGTGTATCTGGATTTTCAGAAAGCCTTTTGACATGATGCCACATAAAAGGCTAGTAAAAAAAATTCTCTATAGGTATGGGGGATAAGTTAGCAAATTGGATAGAAGAGTGGCTGGGTGGAAGAATGGAGAGGATTGTTACAATTGCAGTTCAGACAAACTGGATTACCTCAGGGCTCAGTCTTAGGACTTTTGCTCTTTTTGATTTACATCAGTGACATAGAGGAAGAAATGGTGAATAAGTTACTCAAATTTGCATATGATATTAAGGTCTTGGGTGTTGCTAGCAGTGAAGAGGATGCTGCAATTTACAAAAGGATTAAGATCATTTAGTGAGGTGGGCAAATAGATGGCAAATGGGTTTTAATTATAATAAATGTAAAATAATGCATGTGGATTATCTTAATTTGAATTATAAGTAAAATTTGAATGTGAATAACCTTAATAGTGTCATGAAAGAAAGGGATCTTGGTGTAATAGTTGATCAGTCTCTTAAGGCATCTAATCAGTAAGCTATTGCTGGTGGTAAGGTAAATAGGATTTTAGGTTGTATCTACAGAAATATTGAATACAAGTCTTAAAGAGGTTATAATTTCATTGTATAGATCACTGACTAGGCCACATTTGGAATATTGCGTTCAGTCTTGGACTCCTTACCTTAGGACATTGAATTGTTGGAAAGAGTTCAGAGGAGGATTACTAGAATGGTGCCTGGGATGGAGGGGTTGTCATACAAAGAGAGGTTGAAATCTCTCAAATTGTTTTCTCTTGACAAAAGAAGAGTTAGAGGGAATCTGATTGAGGTAAGATTGTAAAGGGAATGGATAGTGTTCATGCATCATCTTTTTTCATACTTAACTGTGAGAATATTAGGACTAAGGGACACAAATATAAATTTTGACAGGGCTAAGAAGGCCCGACATGGCAAGGTGGCTAGGGAGCTCGACTTGCAATCTGAGGGTCACAGGTTTGAATCCCCATCCCACCAAACATGCTTACCCTTTCAGCCATGGGGGCATTATAATATAACAGTGAATCCCACTATTTGTTGGTAAAAGAGTAGCCCAAGAGTTGGCAGTGGGTGGTGATAACTAGCTGCCTCCCCTCTAGTCTTTCACTGCTAAATTAGGTACAGCTAACATAGATAGCCCTCATGCAGCTTTGTGCAAAATTCAAACCAAACAGCTAAGACAATTTTATTTTTCTAACAGGGTGGTTGGCCTTTGGAATGGGTTGCCTTCAGATGCTGTGGAGGCAGCAAATTTAAGAGAGTTTAAAAGAAAGCTTGATAAGTATACAAATGATAAGGGCTGGCTTTAAGATTTTTTTTTAAATGTATTTATTAATAGTTTTAGTTCAGTTTAGATGTTGGGACAGCTGAGATAGACCAATAGGTCCCATGTTGTCCCAAAACATTATGCTATGTTACTTTTGTGCTGGGGTCCAGTTTGATCCTGAGTGTTACACAACATAACTTTTCAAAAGTGTGCTGATGAGAGTAAACATTCTACTTCAAAAATAATAGTACCAAACTACTACAAAATTTAGGGTCCGAGCCTAATTTTTGAAATCTATGATGAAACTTAAATGCATATTCACAACCTGAATAACAAGCTCTGTTACTTACTAAGTTACTACATTATACATAAGCTGTAAAAATCGCTGTAAAAGTGTAATCTAATTTAACAATTAAGGGTTAAACCCTACAGCTGGCTTACTAATATAGTAATAAATATTACTAGTACTATTATTAGTTTAACAATTAACTCTGAAGGGTCTGAAGTTTAGTGATACTTCAGAGCCTAATCAGTGTTACACTACAAACCTAGGCTACAGCACATATGACTAAGTTAAATTCGTTACTTCTAACTAGCTAACACTAACATTGTATTTACCCATTGTCATGAACTTGACAAGTTTATTGTTAGTTTAAAAAAAGAATTTTAATTCAAATAATAAAAAGTTTAACTTCTTTAATGTTTAGCTATTTCAAAATTAAATGACTTGTGAATATTATGATTCCAGTTCATGTAATTATAATTGTAATTTAATTATAAAACCTGTCGTAAATTGTCAATTCAATTAATACCTGATGTGGGAGTAAGGCTAAGGATAAAATGTCGCAAAATATGCAAGAATAAAGAAAGCATTTTCATTCAATTAATTCAAGTTATTGTGTTTATTTATTTAGATGAATTCCACTCTTATTCCTAAAAGAGCAGCTTTTTTTGGTTAATGACATTATGTTACTTTACACTTACTTTATCAAATTTTATCAGTTTATGATTTGTCTTAAGACTTTAAAACAAAAAATTTAAGTTGCAATTACAATTTAAATTGCTTTACTCTTTTAACAAGTTTTACTCTTTTAGTCTTTAGCAGATATAACTTAAGGAAACTAATCTATTGTTGTAATGTCTATTGCTAACTAACTAGTACAACTTACAAGTCAAGTTGATAAATACGTGATTACGTTAATATTATGTACTACGTTTAGCAGTTTCGACTTTTTAAGTTTTAAATTTCACTAGTAGTAGTATTCCAGTAATCACCGTTAGTGTTAGTAACTTAGTAGCTATGTTATAATATCAGAATGGTAGCCTAACAGTCTTCTTCTTGTGACTAACAGTTAACCTAATAACTAGGGGATCGTTTGCTAAATTTTTGAAAGTATGTATGTTTGAACATTTCGTAATTATTTTTATAATTACATTGACTTAATCTCTCAAATATTTCTTCTGATGAAACTATAACTAATAAATGCGATAAAATTAATAGATATAATTTATGCATCGAGGCGAAAAGATTTTGTTTTGACAATGGCTCTTATCTTATTTTCGATCGGAGTTTTAACCTCACAGTCCTACTTCTCTTATGAGATTCTATGTCATTCTAATTTCTCATTATAAAAACAAAGAAGAACAGAAAGCCGCTCCTCGTCACGAGAGAAACTAACTATTTCTCGAACAATCTACTTAAAACTTATTTATTGGTTGAAACTTCATCTCATATAATATAACGGAGTTTACCAAGACTATTATATTTTTGAACTCACATTTTATTTCTGTCTTCTGTCCTAGTATAATTTCAAAAAGGCACCAACCTGAGATGGAGCGTTAAATGTAATTTATATCTGTAAACAATCAAAATAGTTTCTCTTACGTTCCTCTCAGAAGCCTATTATATTTAGTTTACTGAAGACGAACAAATTAGCCACCTTCTTCTTTATTTAGACCTGGCAAGGCCTGGTGGTTAGGGCGCTCGACTAGCAATCTGTGAGTCGTGGATTTGAATCCCATCACTGAACATGCTCGCCTTGTCAGCCGAAGAGGCATTATAGTGTGACGGTCAATCCCAGTATTCGACTAGAGTAGCTCAAGAGTGGGCAGTGTTGACTATACGTGCCTTCCCTTTGTCTATCACTTCTAAATTAGGAACAGGTATTGTAGATAGCCCCTGAGTAACTTTACGCTAAATTGAACAAACAGACAAATTTCTGTATTTAAAAGTGCAGATATTCAAGTGACTCAGTTTTATTTCGAGGCATTTAATTTAATTAGTCATACATTTCACCTATCCTCGACTTCACCTGGAGTTATCAGAAAGTAAGTCTATAACTGCATCTTAACTACATAATTAGTTTAAGTAATTGTTTGCACTTTGCAAATGTGAGCAAAAATGCGTAATGTAGTATTCTCAGTTAAACTGGTTATCCTGCAAGTATCAGATACGTCTGTAATAACGGAGGGATTGAGAAGGATATTTAAGAAGTTTTAAGTTATGTGAAAAATCACGAGACTGGACATGTGGTATGAAGTAAAACATTTTTATGAACAAACAAAGAAAAAACAATATGCACAATTGTCTGTACTGGATTAATGAATGGACCGTCTGTTCTCTTTCTTTTGGGACAGATTTCTGTCGAAGTAAACATTTTGAAAGCCAGGTAGAACTCTGAAAGTATATATATATATAGGCTCTGTACTTGCAAGACGCTTGTCATTGTTTCTTTGTAACAGTGTCACCATCTGGCTAGTCATTATCTCGCAGCCTTCGTGGAATGGAACATATATACATCATCCACTCAGCCAATGAAAGAACGTTGCAGTGATTTTGTACATTAATATGTAAAGTTGCTGCAACATTCCCAGGGGCAGAGTAGATACTAACTGCTACTGAGAATAACAAAGACAATTAGAAGGAAAGAAATTCAATGTTTTTCTGAACTCGTGTTTATGCCAAAATTAAATAGAAAGAGACAAAGCAAAAAAATAATTAAAAATTCCTATGTTACTAAAAAAAAGTGGAAAGTTATTATATGTCTACATATCACACCTATAACTTAATCAAGAATGTATTAAATTCCAACCTTTTCTTGCAGGTGTATATGAAACATTTAAGACTGTTATATCATATGTTGATTAGCATATTAATCACATGAAGGAAAGTATTGTGATTATATTCCCCTGAACTGGTTGTTCTTTGCAACAACTTTTATGAACTATTTGTTGCCTTAGGTTAAATGTATCTTAATTGTGCTCTGTTTATAAACAAGTAGAAAGTGAAAAATAAAAGTTCCTAATCATTTAAGCTGAGACCAATACATTTTTGCAAGTGCTTGAATGACGTTTAATAGATTTAGGATGATAGTAATTTGATTATGATATTTTTCTATATACGACTTATCTAACAAGAAAAGTTAGCTATGGTTTATCCTTATTCCCACACTCTGTCTCTATATAAATGTTAATTATGATTCTTTATGTTGTTTCCTCGGTATATACTGAGATACTTGATCCACCTTTCTTTAGTCAAGCTTTCTCTTTGTAAGTGAGAAAATAATTCTTAGTCTCAAATGGATCACACACATTAAGTGCACCTCGTATAGAAGGAGAAATCTAGCTCGGTTTTAGTGATGTAGTAAACGGTTTTTCCATAGAAGAGTCAGTTAGGCCTGCAAATTGGAAGTCCATAAAATACCAGAATACGGAGTATATTTATCTCTTCTTATCTACAACCAAGATAATCTAGAAAAAAACATACTCAAGACCCATAGATACACAAGGAGCAGACGTTTATTCAAATATCCAAACAATAATACAATACAATAAAAACAAAGCAAGAGAAAGTGTCTAGTGGTGAATGTCAAACTGATAAGAGTAATAAAAATACTTTATTCATGATCTCTTGTCAGTTTGGTGTGTCACACCCTGAAAGTTAAAATAACATCTCTCAAATAAAAGTAGAAGTCAAACCCCCAAAACAATTAGCTAGAACTAAAGTTACAGTTTAATGTTATTTTTACACAGAGTTAAATCTAAATTAAAATTTTATTGACAAACATATAATGAAATAACTTTTAAAACTATACTAACCTACACTATATTTGTATTTATTTTTTGTTCCGTATATCTGTAGGTTTCATAGAACATTTGATAAAGAAAACTGTTAAGTTGATTTTCTTTTAGTTGGCTTCGAGTGGATAATACCTACTCTGTCTGGAGAAGGAAATGTTGTTGCAATACTGCAACTTGTGAAAAGTCGCTAAAAGTGCACTTCAAGTGTGGTTCAAGTGATATCTAGAGATTACATTCTCATGCATGTTGTAATGAGAAGGACTTTTCACGTGGGTTGTGCAAGTTTCTCTAAGTAAATGCAACATTTCTTGCAAACTAGGGAATGTTGGATTTAGACAGTCTAAAATAAAATCTTGAAGGAGAAGCAGGTGAGAGAAGCCAGTGAAAGTCACAGTCCTGTGTAAGTAAAAGCAAGTTTGTGTTTAGTGTCATAATAAAGATTGTTTTTCTTACATTTCGCTTTATGTCTAATCTCATTATTCCATTTAACATCATGACTCAATTAGTAAGAGGTTTAACATTGTTTCATGATTGATATCCTGTCCAAATCTTTAGTTATTAAACTGACCTATCTAATAACTCGAAGATTAATCCAGTTTGACCTGAATATACCACAAAGTGGATACGTAGAATAACATTGTGGTGATGTGACCAGGATAATGTATTATGGAGTTCACTTTATCTAATGAATTGTGTACTGCCCTTTACTCCTACTCTTATGTGATATGTGTTTTAAGAGGCTTTATAGTTAAGGAAAGGACATTTTATATAACTGGAATGACTTGTGATATGCAGATATATCATATGTTTTTCTAATTTCTTTTATTAATATAGAAGTTTAAACTTTTTGTTTAGTCTGTTTCTGTGCAGTTTTGGTATAAACACTTGGTCCAAAAAACTGTTTAGTTATTTTTGTTCTAATTAACTGCCTTTGTTTCTTTGTTGTTCTCTGATAGATAGTATCTACTCACGAGCATATTTGAGCTTCACACATTGTGTAGGATGGGTCAATGACAGCAACGTCCTTCATTGGCTGAGCAGATGGTATATAGAAATTAAAGTCTTCATTTTAAGAGAATGACCAGTCATGTGGTAATGCTTATCATTTATGTATAAAACCAAAGGTGCCTGTTTATATAAAGAGCATTGATTTTGAACAGTTCTGCTTGGTTGTCAACGTGAATAAATCACACATTATATATATCTTGAGAGACGAAAGCTGTTGGCTAATTCACAGATTCAATAGGAAGAAAGTTTTCCAGTGTCTTACACAAGTTTTTTCTTTTTGTTCTGTGATATAAATAAAGATTTCTATCCACTTTATATTACATGTCCAGTCTTATTATTTTCTTAAATTAAATCTCAGTCGTTTAGTTTAATTCATATTTACTCTGTAATTATCCTGTAGAAATCTCTCGTTAGCTGGCCTATCTAATATTTGTGCAAAAATCAATGTATTTGAGAATATCGCAAAGTTACAACCAACAGAAAGAGTCAGCGCCTGAGGGGAAATAGTTTTTCGAGAGAATTGTAATGTTTAGAAAAAGTCCTTCCTGAATGTAAGACTTTTTCTGATGTTGCAAAGGCCCAGGACTTCTATGTTACTACAACGATGACTCAGGAAGAAGAACCACCAATATTTATGCTCTTCCCCTAAATATAGATCTCAGTGCAAGGGAATTACTGACAACTGAGAATTATTGCAGTGATGTGGTATCTGGTAAGCCTGAGATTATGTGGGGTAATTTATACATTTGATTATGAGGAACTCATTTAAAAAATAAAAGTATGGAGATGGCTTGTTGTACATTTATAATAAAGTTTTCTTCATTACCCATTTAAACCATCTCCAAACTTTTAAATTCTATATATTACTCCCAGACTTATGCTCTCCAGAGTAATTCAACCCCAGCTCAGGTCTAAACCATCTGAGAATACCAGAGAAAGAGAGACTGGAGGTGCCATTAGAATAGTTAGATTTCAGAAAATGCATACAGTGTCTGATTGTAACTTTAGACAGTCTGGCCCTTAGGCTTGAATGAGAAGTAACTCTGAGACTGTGAAACGGTCATTATCGAGTTATTCCAGAGGTTCGAGCTGGTGGAAAACAGAGAAATCCATTGAGATGAATTCAAAGCCTGGAAGAGGGGTAGCACAGAAAGTTTGAGTACTTGGATGATTTGTACCATTTGCATGGTAAAGCTTACCTGCAATAGCCTAAGTGGATTTCAAGGATAACCTCTTTCATAAGTTTCTGGAAAGGC